AAGTTTTCTAGGTTTTTGTCAATTTTCTTCCAGATACATCGGAAAATTTGAAAAAAACAGTGAAAACGAGCGAAAAAATTTTAAAAGTTTGAATTCGCGCGCTTTTACTCACCGGGCGGCCTAGAAAAAACCTCGTCCCTAAGGGCTTTCAGCGTATTTTTCGATTCATTTTTCTCGATGAAGGAATTTTTTTGAATTTTTTCTTTATTTTTATGTCAATCTACATGCATTTCTGCACATTTTGATGCAATAAAAAACTTCACCGTACACCATCTTTAATTTCACTGTTTCAAACTATACTTACTTTACCACATGCTCATCCCCAAGTACCATTCTTTGCTCTTTCTTTTTTCTCTCTTTATTTTCTTGTTTTCACCCCTCAAAAGTACCGACAAACACGAGAAAAAAGTGTGGTGTTTCGAAGTGTTTTTGGCGGGATGAATGCCAAGAATTCCCGTTGTTTCTTTTCTGTTATAACCTCTTTTTTTTCATTTCCTGAAATCTAAATTTAGCTCTCAAAGAATCGTTTTTATCCGCCGATCATATTGACCTATCATTGCGTTTCAGTAATTGAGATCCTCCTGGGTCTCTTCCTCTTATTTACTGTTTCAATTTACTTTTCCAAAAATCCCCACACACTTTTTTGTGTTGCTTCATCCTACCGCTCACACTGATAACGGCGGGATAAAACAAATACTTGTCCCTTCTTTCATTCAAGACTCCGCCCACTTTTCCAATGGACCGAGATAACATGATGAGGTTGGAGACGCCGAGAAGAGAGTTGATCTCCCGTGCACGCTCCTTCAGTCTTGCCACCTCGAAAAACCGTTGCAAAAAAATGGACAACGAGAAGGCGTTGAGGTAAGTGATCCTGCTCTTTTTTGTGTCTTGTGCATTGTTGTATTTGTCTGTTTTGAAATTGATATAAGTGTCAAGTGGAGGAAGATGCTCTGTTGCAAAACTGGGAAATACCCTTCTGCAAAGGATTACTGTACTAATAGACAACTGCAAAAAATAAACAACAGTGTACTTAAAAGATCTACTAGAGAAATGTGTAAAATTCAATTATCGAGGTATTATATTTTTAAAGGCGCATATCTCAAAAACAACAGTAGCTAGAAAAAATTTGCCAACTAGAAAAATAAAGCTCTTGTTTAGTATTGTCTGAAATTTCCAGACAAATCTGACATTTTTGGCATGATTTCGTAGACGTCTAAAGGTTAACTTTTTTGCTTTGAAAAGGCGCGGATTCATCAGTTTCATGTTCCCAAAAACCAAGTTTTTAGGTATTCCATTATCATCATTCAATTTTCGCGAAATCTAATTTCTTCTGTTGTGTGATAATTTTTATAAAGTTTTATAAGCTTGAGACTAGGGCTGTAGATACCGTAAACACTTTAATCGAATGCCACCCAAACCTTCAACTTTGAGTCAATTTATCTCATTCCCTGTCAAAGATATCAAAAAGTGTTAAAATGACAAAATCTTTATCGTAATATCACCAGTATTCTATCAGTTGACAGATTTTTCATATCATTCACAAGGATCCAGATAATTGAGCTCAAAGTTTCCATACCGCATGTCCCTCTACTTGCCCTTCAAGCTGAATTATCTCAATTTCTGTAAGAGATATCAGAAATCTGTCAACTGATAAAATGTTTATGATATTATGAAAAACATTTTATCAGTTGACAAATTTTGGATACCTCTTGTAGGAACCGAGGTAATTGAGCTCAAAGGTTGGAGCCAGATTGATGTCATTTGTTTTCTACATATAAAGCCACCTAAAACTTTCATATTCCTCTGTTTAACCCTTTATTCCATTTTTTCCAGATTTGAGCTGGAATGCCGTCGCACCGGAAAGTGTCGTGAGATCGTTGCAGATGTTCAGCACAGTCGAATGCCACGTCACATGGAGCAAGAAGCTTGCTCATTGGCCGCCAAAAGCATTATGGTAAGTACCAGACTGAGTGATTTGAACGTTCAATTCAACTTTTGAGAGAGTTCGAACACGAAAGTTCGCCGACCAAATCAACACTAATCTTGTAGCTAATGTGTGTTGTTCGATTATAAAAAAGCGGCTCTCATATGGTAGAATACGGTAGCTTATTTTCAGACGTATCATTTGGAGCATGACATTGCTCGACACCTGAAAATGGCATTCGACAGAGAATACGGACCAGATTGGCATTGTATTTGTGGAAAACACTTTGGATCGTTTGTCACTTTTGAGCCGGATAGGTAATTCCATCCTTAATCCATTTTTAGTACGTCATCAGAACTCTTTCAGCTTCATCTATTTCCGAATTGGAACTATCGCATTCATGCTTTTCAAAACGTCTCTTCAACGATTGCCCATCATGGAGAAGCATTTGGAGAATGTGAAATTGACACCGAAGACAATTCTAGGAAGAAGTAGACTGATGACACCGAAAAGTGAGGACGATGAAGAGAGTACAAGTGCATCGGATGTTTCATGATGCTTATGATTACTTTCACAACTATGTACATTCTTATATTGATCAAATGTTATAATTTATGGGTATTTAATGTTTTCTGCGAAAGTCAAATAAATTTATCCGTCTGCTTTCCTGGTTTTCAGCAGTCTAAAAGATCTCTGATAAATCACGTACACTCGAATCCACTTGAAAAGACCAGTTGATTCTTGTGTTCTCGCCCTCAAAATACACGACTTGTTCGGTTTTGTCGGTGAAAAGTTGAAAACGGTGAGGCTGTTTGTGACGTCAAATCTCTGTCAACAAACAAGTGGGATGAAGTGACGTGGCTGAAGCATCTGAAACGACGAACAAAATTCTGAATGCTGTCGAAACTTTTTATTAATCAGGCAGCATAAAGACTTGAACAATAAAAAGTATGAAACAGTATAATGATAAATAGAGACAAAAACTAACTGCAAACTGCTATTGCTTTTCGAAAAGCAAATTTACAGCAAATTGGTTTCTATTCATATATAAGGTTTAAGGTGATAATGCAGATGAGATAGTGCAGGTGGAATGTCGCAGAGATGATAAAGAGACATTGGACAGTGTGGTGGGGGTTCGATAGAATGGAAACTTTAACAAAATGTGTAACTAGTGGGAGTGGGAGGGAACTGATATATCCGATTTTTGGTCGGGAATCTGGATGTAAATTATAGACTTGCAACCTGCTGCCACGTATCATATGTACTGCGAAATATCTACCGATTGAGACATACCAACGCGACAGCAGATTGTAACCTGATAATTGATACAGTCGCAGATATTAGAAGTAGGAACATGCATAAAATTTGTTTTTAAAAAATGTTCGACCCTTTTAGAAAAGTGATATCGGCATATTAAAATATTAATACAATGAAACCGAAACAAGAAAGCGAATACTTCCATCTCGTAGGTTTCAAAATAACAATAAGAATGAAGAGACTATGTTTGGGTGCTGTCAAAGTTGAAGGAAAATGAGAAAACGGAGATATAACAGAAAACAGAAATGAAGTCAATGGCTTGGGATGTCTACAGACGGTAAGCAAACATTGACTCCAATTCTAGAAACCTAGAGATAGGAAAAATTATGCAGATATAATGACGCAAAATAAGCCGGAAATCCCAGGAAAATACTGGTTCAGATACAGAGGTACGGGTCGTTGTTGTCGAGACCTTCGGGAATCTCCGGATAGGCGGACAAGGCGTAGCTGAAACACAGACATTTTTCAAAGTAGCTGAGAGCAAATAAACGTACGATGAGTAAGTGAGAATTTTGGAGTCGCCGATGAACTCAGTGATGTTGGAGTTGTTGATGTCATTCTGAAATATAACAGATGTGATAATTTTTGGAGCGAGAATTCAGAAAAACGAGGTTCTAATTAAAAAAAAAAAACGAAAGTTGACCTCATTCATTTTGTTGCCGCTGTTGACCATTGATGGTGGCATGTTCTCTAGCTCTAAGTGCGAAACAGACATTGCTGATGTAGTCGTCTGGTACTGTGATCCGGGAATTTGAGACGACGGAAGCAATAAAGTGCGATTTCTTGCTCTGAGTTGCTGGAGGGCCTAAAACAAACTAATTAATTCTAGCTGGGAATATCAATAGTACCAATTTTCGATCTGTAGACATGAATTCTTGTCTAGTAACGGATGCGCTCGGAGCCGAAGTAGTAGACTGGCTCTGTTCCAAAGCTTTCCGCGCATTTTCAGCCTGCTGTTGACGCCTGAATGATGCTATCGGAATGTGGCTAGGCGGATCCTGAAAATATTTTTCAAATTCCGATTTAATTTTCTCAAAATACCTCGATAATGTTGGTGTAACGTCCGAAACCATCATTTTTGTCAACCTCGTCGTCAACATCCATCGGAGTTCCGGCGAGAGGACGCTTGCAAGGCTTTCGGCACATTTTCGGTGGATATTCGTACGGTATTTCATTCAACAACTGAAAACATGGGATATATTGCAATTCTTCAAAAAGTTCTCACTTGAATTTCGTCCGGATATGAGGTCCATGAAGCGGGATCGCCCAACGGATATTCGCCGCATATGATCCAGTCGCCTACGCTGTAAAGATAACTATTTCCTTCCAAAAAAACAACCCTCTTGCTCACATTTTATTTTTGAATCGTTCATCTACCGGGACACATTTGGCTCTGTTATCGATCGAGTAACGGCTGTAAATGGAAACTAGAAAGTTTTTGCTGTTTATTTCATACCTCGGCGATGGAAATCGAGCTTTGGGTAGTGTGAACGGCGTATAGAGTTCTGGCTGGGGAATAATACGACCTCGTGAACCTCTTATCATCTGGAAATCTTGAAAACGGTTAAAAACTTGATAAAAATTGCGATAGATTCAAATTAGGCACCGAAAATCTTCAAAATTTTGCGCGTTTTTAATTTTCGAATGAGTAATGCCGCAGAGTACTGTAATCGGTGCGATGCCACCGCGACCACTCATGCACCTTTAAGATTTGAATTTTAATCAGCCTATTTTCACTTTGTTTTTGTGATTTTTCTTCTTTTTAAGTTTTTTTTAGAAGTTAAAACCGTTTTGTTTGTTTGAAAGTTGATTTTCTATCTATATTTTGTATTTTTTATATTTTCCAGATGGCCCCACCACTGGAAGCTGAATATGACAACTCATTCATCAACAAATCGAACGACACGGTCACCGATCTGGTAAGCTATTCGAAAAAAAATACAATAAGAAAAAACAAAATTTTACAGAAATGGCAGAAAATGTTTCCATCGTGCGTCGCCGATGTCGACCAATCTTCTAATTTCATGACGAGAGCGATTTTTGTGGTGTTTTCTACAATTTTAAGTCGGCGCAAGGTTCTTCCTGACGACTATTTCGCGAAGAACCATATCACAGGTATCAACGTTCTAGAATATTCAATGAAAATGTTTGATTTTGCAGAAAAATTGAAATGCAGTTCACTGAACTTCAAAAATCCAGAAGCCCTCAATATAAGCCAGCTTCTACGAGTCGCTGGAAATGCCGTAAAGATGGGTTACTTGAAGGAGTTAGCTCTCGTCATAACTGAACACGAAGGAGATGTTGATGCAATCGAAGTGTATTCCATCAAATTCCATTATTTCGAAAATGGAGGAGTCGCTGCAACATTGAACACAACCGTTGACAATAACGATCTATCGCCAATGGAAAAACTCGCAGCGCTCGACTACACTGGTACACCAGCGGTTCGAGACCAACTAGTCATGCTAGTTCGAAGTGTTATTTATCTCTGCGAAAAAGTTTTTACGGAGTCTCTGCCGAAGGAGTTTGATGCTAACTTCCGTGTCGATTACACCGATTCAGCTCCTGTTAACTTCCGCATCGACGGCTTCTTCGACTCGTCGACCTTCTACACGTTACCCAACGAGATTCAGTCCGCCACTCTTGGACATCTGCGGCCAGGTCATCATGCTGCCCTTGTTGACTGTTCGAGCATCTACATCACTGACACTTACGCCGCGGAGCTCAGCCTCAAGGCGCACACCGACAAGGTTGCTGATAAACTCGGATACAGCTCCGATGGATTGCTCTATAAATCCTTCAGTTCAGATCCGAACGTTAGCATCACATCGAATGGTGCAGTCAAAAATGACTCCACTGTCGAAAGCCTTGCGGTGAGTTTTTTTGTTCACAATTTTATAGAATCAGTTATATTTGCAGAACTCTCTGGCTAAAAACACTACATTGACTCCAATGCCGGCAAAATCAGCTCGTGCTAAGGATTCCAGTGTGAGAGCTGCACCATACAGCAAACGTACCCGTAAATAATATGTTTGTATTTCTTGTGTTAGTAACATAATTTATTCTCTTCCGTAGTTATTTCTCCCTGTCATGCAAATCATCTTGTATCATCAACTGAGGCTTTACCGATATCACCAATCAAAAATTATATCTACTTTCTTAGTAAACGGAACTGTCCTAAAAATTTATTCCGAAATTCGGTAAAGCCTCAACAAAATCATGTTTTATGCTTCCTGCGAATTCAATAAACTTTTTTATAAAGAATATTTCCAAAAAGTTCTCGCTTCACTTCCGGATACTCGTAAAACATGGTACTCTTATCTGTTGCAGAAAAAAAAACTTATGATTTCCGATCACAGAGTACATTTCTTTTCCCTAGCTGTTATCAAATTTCTCTCCTCATTTTGAGGGAAGCGTATGATTTTCCAAAGTTGTAGTTCTTTGTGTGTTAGATTTGCACACAAGTCATCTAAATATCTTTCGAGCGAGAGAATAACATTTATGCCAAAGTAATCTTATTCATACATAATTTAAATATATTGTACTTCGTTCCCATTCTTGATGGAACTACGGCGTAGTTCCACGACTCCATCAGAACAAGGAGCCTTTTGTCTAGCTGCCTGCGACTGTTGCCTTTTCTCTGTGTCGTTTGCGCTACGAAGAAAATAAGAGAAAGCTGACCGTCACAGGCTTAAATTGTGCATCATTATTCTGCTCCCTCTCCGACTTAATTTCTGAGATTCCGTGTCTGAAAAATGCAGTGTCCAGGAGCATCGAGTGATTCTGATTTTCCTCTGTTACCGTGAGTACTTTAGTCTTTGTTATTGCGAAATTCTGAGAATTTATTGCAAGAAATAGGTGTTTTGTTGACATATCTGCGTCTCTGTGAAGCGAAGAAAAATAAGGATTCGAAAATAGTGTGTAGGTGGAAGAGACGTAGGAAATATTTCTGACAATTGAGGTCGTTTTAGAAAGGCTTTCAGAATTTTCTTATTTTTTGACAGGGGTTAGTTGACGCGCTCCAAAACCTTTCAGACAAAAATTTCCAGCATTTTTGGAAAAAGTGCATATACAGATTTTGACAGGGGCTTTTTGAGCGGGTCATCTAACCCCTGTGAAAAAATGAGAAAATTCTGAAAGCCTTTCTGAAACGACCTCCCTTGTGAGAAAAACTGGAATTCCAGGCGGGGATGGATCAATCATTGTGATCTGTTATCTGTTATCAATAAGCCTTCCTTATCCTCTACAAAAAAGAAACACTGAAAATTCCTAGACATCAGAAAAACAACTGCGAATTTTCCGATCTTTGAAGTTTGTCTCGATTCGATGTCACATTTCACCCGCCCACCGTGCAACCTGCTAAAATATATGCAAAACCTTTTGTTTTTGTTCTGATCACAACTTTTGCAGTCTCTGTTTGTCCCGAATTGTGTTTTCACTGTTGAATAGTTATTCTATTGATTGAATAACCATCAATAGTTGTTTCCTAATAATTCCCAAACCTTCTTTTTGTTTCAGTATGACGGGCGGTTCAAACTACAACAGTACAACAAAGTCTCAGAGCGACGTGGGGCACGAAGGATCATTCAAAGCAAATATCCATGGAAACTTCGATGATGACGTGGCGTTTAGGAGGAAGACTATGGATGAACAGAATATAGCCGAGAAGAAGAGTACGCCAGTTGTGGTGAGCTGAAAATGGTGTTACTCTCACTGAAGATAATATTTTGAGATCTTCATAAATTTTGCAATAGTGGCGTTGGTAGCCATTACATGGTGTCTGTCCACTCAATTCAGTAAGACCGCACTAAATTTCGATAAGGTAAGGTTATAAATAAGTAATAACTCAATTAATTTCTATTGTATTTCAGAAAAACTTCAATGCTCCGTACTTTATGATGTGGTTTAACACAAATCTGATGCTTCTCTGCTTTCCAGCTTATATTATTGTAGACAAGATTAGATCAAGAAGAAGTATTGGGGATATTGTAGGGTATGAACTCTTAAATGTAATCGCTCTAGTTCTCAATTTTTGCAGAGAAACATTTCGAACTTTTGGAAAGAAAAAGGGATTCAGTATCCGGAATATGTTCGTATATGTGACCCCGTTTGTATTCTTCTGGGTCGGTGCCAACTATCCATATGTTCGAGCTCTTCTACTCATAACTCCGAGTGTTGCCACGTCGATCAGTGCATGTAATGCAGCATTTGTATATATTTTAGCTATCATCCTTCTTGGAGACACTTTCAACATTTTCAAGGTGAGCATTTACCTGATGTTGCTCTTCTTAGCTACCTAACTTTCAGATTTTCTCAGTAGTGCTCGCTATCGGAGGAGTGGTTGTGATCTCAATGGATAACGAAATGAAAATCGAATGGCTCGGAATTCTATTCGCGTTTCTTTCCGCATTCATGGCAGCTGTTTACAAGGTTTCATTCAAAAAGATCATTGGAAACGCGTCCCTCGGCGATGTTTCACTTTTCATGACTTGTTTGGGATTTTTGAACTTGACCATCAATTGGATTCCTTCGCTGATTTTGGCGCTGACTGGCGCTGAAACTCTACATTTTGCATATGCGCCATGGGGACCTATGGTTGGAGCTGCACTTCTTTCTATGGGTAAGTTACCCTAATTTAGTGTTCAAGTGTAGAATGAAGAAATATTCAATTTCAGCATTCAATTTCACAATCAACTTTGGAATCGCTCTTCTGAATCCTCTTGTTATTTCAGTTGGAATGTTGCTAGGAATCCCACTAAACACTTGTAAGTGTTTCCAACTTTTCCATAAGCCCATCAGTGTTTTTAGCCTTTTTTCATGTTAGGCTCCGCCCTCTCTTCTAGGGTCACTATCCATAATCGTTAACGTTACAGTAATCGACATCATCTTCCGCAGCTTGGACGCAACTCCTTTATTCATAATCGGCACATGTCTGATCTGTCTTTCCTTCCTGCTTATCATCATCCCTTACGATAAACTGGGAATCAATGGAAACTGCTGGAAGAATAACAAAACTTCTGCAGAGGAAATCTGCGAAAAAATGTAGTTATTTTGTATTGACCAATCTTGTGATTTTGCATAATTGTTTTAATTTGTTACAGTTCATTCTTTATTGCTCATCTTTTTATGTTAGTGAGTAATTTATTCTGTAACCGGTATTCATTTTTTTATGGATCACATTCCTAATAATTTAATTTATTGCCTCGGTGTAAGAGCTTTCGAAAACTTATAAACCACTTCTCTCTGGAACTGAGACTTCAACAGCTGAAAATTCAATTCCTTTTCAAAATATATTGCACTTTCCACCACTCCATGAAGCCCAATAATTATAAAAAGACTATTTGTGAGACTTTGAGTAATCCCTCCAACTGCTGAAACTCCAGTCACCACCACATACGGTATCACAATGAGTGCAGTTGGAATTCCAGCCTGTATCACTGTACCAATAAAAAATCTTCGTTGTAAATTACGAGTTTGATTTGATTTTACAAAGAAAATGAAATTGATCCAATTCGTATCGCTCATCCAAACAAATACATCTGGGGAGAAAAATTCAGGGGCGGGACAAGGATTTTGCTGGAGGAGTTCAAGTTTTGCATGCTCCTGGTTGGAAGGAGTATGAATGAATGGATTCATGGATAACATGCAAACTAGATAGTTGCCAATATAGAAAACTAGTTTGCTGGACAGTTTCTTAATTTTGAATCGGTTTCGATTTTCAAATAAGAATAGGATTGATAAATAGACAGCTGGAAAAGAAAAACGTACCGTAAAGACTCTAATAGAACGTCAACCAAACCGTCAATTTTGAGCCTATATATCTCACTTCCTGTAGAAGATATTGAAGAGTGGTCAACTGATAAAATATTTATCATGATATCAGAAACATTTTTACAGTTAACCAATTTTGATGTCTTTCACAGGAAGTGAGATACATATGCTCAAATTTGACGGTTTGTGTGGCGTTCTATTAGAGTTTTTACGGTGTTTAAAAAAAACATGCCCTGTCATAGGTTTTTTTCAGGATCAATATTTTTTGACCAACAAAATAGATACGATACCATTCAATGAGAACTACAAAATGATAAAGATCAAATTGGCCCAAAAAACCGCCTAGGCAATGACGGCCGGAAAGTATTTTTTTGACTTGTAACTTGGTTTACAGACAAGATACAGTTTGCAAAATAATACCATTCTGTAGTGCTGGTCGAGTTCTATCATATCTAATTTGTTTGGTCAAAGATATTGATCCTAAAGGAACATATGACAGTGCTCACAAGGGCGCGTTTCTAAATGAAACCTACCAAACAAAACAATCAAATAAATAACCAACTGATTTCTATGAGAAATCCCAACCGATGTGAAGATTCCACATCCCAAGAAAGCAATAGAAGGAAGAAATAGATACGGAGTAACCAGACTGCAAACTTTCACATCCAGTAGTGAGCAACAGAAATGGGAAATCAAAAGAGGCATTTTTATAGGTTCCATAGATACTGAAGTCTTCGTTAGAATCAGCCAAAAAGTGAGAAGGTGAATTGGACAACCAATCGCTTGAATTAAATGACTGGAGTATACTAACACTTGGGTACTAGCAAAGAAACTGTCGTCATGTGGACATATGGTATAGTTCTCATATGGTATAGTTCACATATGGTATAGATCTCTTGTTTTCCTAAAGACGCCCGTTTAGGTAACATTTAAAGCATCTAGACTTTAAATGTTACTCATATAATCAAAAACAGCAATCAAGAAAGAAAAAGTGAAATCATGAAATTATATCGAAAGCATTTATTTACATCACACGGAAGAAAAATTCCAAGACAAGAAAACTGACAAGAATAGTGACCAAAAGTAAAGCAAATAGAGACAAATACCGGTAGTTGAACACATAAAGTATCTCGGAATTTATAGAATCTGATCCCTGAGTTCGGGTGTTGGAAGCCACGCGACACGAAGAAAAACGGCAAGAGCGGAGAGATTCAGAGTTTCGAAGACGACGAGGAAAAAGTAGTCGAATCGAGCGAAGACGCGAGCCCATTCTCTTTCGATCTGAATTTTGAATTTATTTTTTAAAAGAGTCCTGCTGAGCTTTATATCTAGATCGATTGATTTTGAAGCTTATCGGGTTTGCTCTAAATGACGCCGATCCTATACATAAGCTTAATTATCTCGGTTCCTTCAAAAGGTGTCAGAAAATTTACAACAGATAAATTATTTATCATAATATCATAACTATTTTATCAGTAGACAGATTTTCGATGTCTATTCTAGGAACCGAGATAATTGAGCTTAAAGGGGGACTGCGACCAAAAATTTTTATTGCCTTAAAATGTTTCAAAAAATTCGTATTTTCCTAATATTGTTGCGAAAAAATTCAAAAAAATTCTAAATCCCCGAAAAACTGCTTTGAAAAAAAAATAGGATTTGAATTCCCGCGCAGTGAGAAACCTAGGCCACGACATCATAGCGCCTTTCTTACATGGAAAATTTTCCGG